CTAATGTTTGCAAGGCAAACACTTCAAAAACTGACTCAACACCCAACCAAGCTCTTAAGAATCCCAGCTTTTTTTTTGTGGCTGCATATAGCAACTTGGGTATGTTTTCTATTTATGATACACATCTCTAACTGGATTTCTGAGGACTGGGTCAACAAAGAACCCTGAACATCCCAGCTCCACGCCACCTTCCTGCAGACTGAATAGCGTAAAGGGACACTGGAGAGGGTACTTGGACCCATGGTTGAGGTTCCACAGTGCTGGCCAGTGAGAACTGATTGAAATTTTAACTCTAAATACTCTATGGGCCAGGATGTTGTCCAGATGTTCCAAAAGTCTCTGAGCCTCCAGTCACTTCCTGTCACCTGACAGCACCTCCCCTGAGGCCAGCATCCTGCTCCTGAGGCTTTGCAGTTTTGTTTGGGTCTTGGTGAGGCACCTGCTTCTGCAGTGAGTCCATGATGTGAACATTGAGGACAGCCACAACAACAAACAAGGGAATGTCTGCATGGAGAAAAGGGCATGGGATTTCTTTAATAGTGTTTTTTTTAAATATTGCATAAATAATATATAAAGAAAATAATCATTGCTTCTACTCCTACCAGAAAGAAAAAAAATAGTATGCTCCTTAAAAAAAAAAAAATTTTCCCTAAAACGTTTCTACTTAGATCACACTATAAATTCTATGTTCTACCTTTTGGAGTGTGTGTGTGTATGTGTGTGTGTGTGTGTGTGTGTGTGTGCGCGTGTGCGTGTGCGTGTATGTGTGCGTGTGCATGTGTGCGTGTGCGTGCGTGCATGTGTGCGTGTGTATACATTCATGTTTATATGTAGGTACACTTATGTGAGTGTATGCATGTGGAAACCAGAGAGTAACCTCTGATATTGTTTAATTCTTATTATTTAAAGTAACTATTTAAATTATTTAAAAATAATAATATTTTCTTAAAAAGTAAAGCAATTAAAAAATTTTTAAAAAACCCCTGCCTGTGTCTCTCCTGTGACCTGGTGTCCACTCTCACTGTCCCTCTCAAGAAAGTTTATCTGAAAACGAGGAAAAGGAATTAGTCACTGTGCCTTCCTTGGTGGTCATCTTTAGTACCAAATGGCTGTTATAGTTAGAGGGTGATAACTCACCTTTGACAAGATGTTTTCAGTAAACCCACCTTCAGTGTTGCCCAGTGTTACTGAGGTGCAATAGCCTTCAATATGAAAACCTGCTGAGATGTGACATAAAAATCTGTTACTAAAAATCCTACACTTCTGTGTCAGGATTATGTCATCATCATCATCATCATCATCATCATCATCATCATCATCATCATCCTGGCTGGCCTGGAATTCACGATGTAGACCGTCACACATAAACTTTCAGTAACTCTCCTGCCTCTGCCTCTTGAACTCGAGGATTCCATGTGTGAGCCAGATGCCTGGCCCCTGGAGGGCTGTTTCAGCAGTGGGAGGGTCCTCCTTTCAGAATATGTTCCACTGGTGCTCTCGCTTCTTTTTATTCACAGAATCTTAAGATGGTCAAACTGTAATTTTTCCTACAACAGCCTTTAGAGGCAAATAATCGTTTCTATCTTAAGTTATCTTTCCATATGAAATGCTCGGAATTGAGAGAATTTTTACGGATGTCTCACAGTGAATCTTATAAATCACACTGTCAGCAGGCGACTGCATACTTCAGATAGCTTAGCTGGCTTCGATGAGAGGGTCAGAGTGGTGGGCACATGTTCCTTGTCTAAGATCATAGGAAGCTCATTGCAGTCGGCTCCTGTTTTATTGTGACTCATGGGACTTCAGTCAGATCACTTTTTATTCGCTACTCATTAGGCTGTTGAAAGGCTTCGAATCTTAAAGACAAAAACAACAGAAGGAAAAGGTTTGAGGCAGGTGTGGTGGCCCATTCTGCTAAGGTCGGAGGATGGCCAGTGTGAGGCCAGCCTGGGCTGCTGGTGAGATCCTGACTCAAACAACAGGATAAAGAACTAAAAAGGTTTAACAGTGTCCACACCAAGTGGTTGAGCTTAAACATTAGAACAAACAACCCAAACCCCTCAGACACAGGGAAGATCATTGCTTATGTTGTCTGGGGTCTCCCACCCCATCCTTAATTGCTGTTTGCCAAGCAGCACATTATGTATAGGTAAGGAGTTCAGCCTTCTCTGACTCCACCCACGGTATCCATCCTGGATCCTTTGTTTCTTGTGTGGTCTTGTTCTTCCATCATACGAGAATTGGGAATTCTTTTTGTGTACAAAACACTCTGGGAATACAACAAAAATGATGCTTAGGGTTTTTTATTTTTTCACTGGTTCTTTGTGACTGTTGTTATTGCCTGTACGCCAAACTAGGAGACAGATTGAAATGAAAATATTACCAGAAGACTGGAAAGAAAAACCCAAAGAACCTACTGCTTAT